ATATTTACCACTGACTTTTCGCAATTCTTGCTCAAAGTCAGAAAATAAAGTTACTTCACTTCAGTGAAGGCTTGCGAAAAAAAACTAGATTACTATATTTTGTTTTTCGAGCTTGCGAGAAAAACTGATATATACAAGAAAGTGTCAATATGAAATAAAAATCTATGAAGTGTATATTTATATTTTTTCTTCGTTTTCGGTTACGTACAAATTTGAATCGCGATATTCCTTAATATAGGTTGATAAAGAATCACTATAAATCGCTAAAAACACTATAAATCACTAGAGTCAGCTATAAACTATAAAGAGTAAAAAATGGTTAAAACCAACCGTAACTACTATTCTAGTTTAAATCCTGAAGTAGTGCAGGCGTTAAACAATCTGCAATATAGTTATAGCGATGAAACACCAGAAATATGGTGTTCTCGTATTCGTTGTCCATTTAAAAAACTTCTCGAACATAATTCAAAATACTTCTCCAAGAATGGATTCATTCAAATGATTGAAAGAGCATATAAAGAGCATTCAGTTTATATTTATTGCACTGTATGTGACTCCTTAGCAATTATCCACAAAAATACAATCGAATGTGCAAATGATCACCTAAAGAAATGTATTACTGAAACCACTAATATGCATTCTAATCCTGTACGAAAGAATATGAAAAAAGAGGGGGGAGTATCATCACTTAGCATATAATTGATAAGATATATGAGAGATATTATTTTACATATAGTAAAGGCTTGAGCTATTATGATTATAAACATTCAAATAAAAACGAAGTTAAAAAAAGGATTGTACTTTGCATAATTAACAGTATAACGGTTCTTCAACGGGCTTGGAGGACTTATAAATTGAGAGCCGAGACATGGGCAAGTCGAGTTTGAAATATGGTGAGAAATGATAATACTCCTGATAAGAAGAAGTTTTTAGGTATAACTCCTTGTCGTATAAGAATTCCTGATAATCGATATGTAGATTATTTTGGCCAAAAAATTCAAGCTAAAGATGTGCCTGCACATTATCAGAATTCTCCTATTTTATTCAATCATTATCTTTCTAATGTCTGGGCAGAAAAGAAAAAGGAACAGCTAAATAATCGATTATCTCTTGTATCATATATAGTTGCTTTTGTAGTATTACATTAGCAGGGCTATAGAATCGTTAAATATTCAGGATGGACTTATATGTTAAAATAGCTATCGAATCCTGAATATTACCATATTGATAAACATGGCAAAGTAAACATCATTAAAACTTCAGAATATGCGCGATATTTGTGTAAATTGTATAGCAAACTATATCCATGTAATTCTCTAAAAATTGACTATTTCAATTCTGGAACTTCTATTTTCAGGAAAAAGATGTTAATATAGATTTCTCGAATTTTAATAATAATTGTGAGTATGTGCACCAAGTTTTCCGGGCTATAGATTCTTTATTAAAATAGCAGAGGCGGGTTTCGCTCTGGGTCCTGTACTAGAGAATATATATTCAAAAAATTATTAGATTGATATACAAAATTTTTTTTATCACAAATAGTAATAAAATTTTCTCAGTGGATATATTCGAATCACTTTTTGTGGTGTGCTTCGGGGGGTTTAAAACCCATGAAGTCTGCATCACCTTCCTCCTCACATGCCCCACATTGAGGATGACGATCACGCCCAGGGCAAAAGAAAAAAAAAGTATATCTATTTATTTAGATTTTGAGGTGGATACATTCAAACTATTTCTCATCTCGTAGCTCAGTGGACTAAACCGCAGGAAGCTCATCGGGTCTTCCTCTCCTCGCTACGTAGACAATTATAGTCTGACAATCGCGCCCTCTAAAATTGGGTTTTTATAAGCGAGAAAAAACAAAGTCAGAGGCCCTATTTTTTCTATAAGAAAAAAAAATTTTTGCATGACTATTGGAAGAAGTAAATTGCAGGGAGGTAATAGTCGGATCCTAAGCCTGCCTCGAAAGGCTATAACTACACCTGAGAAAACTATATTATAACGAATAAATAGATTGCATATTTTTTGCAAAACAAATAACTACCTTCACCAAAGTACTAAGCTACCAAACGGTAATTATAAGTATGTTAAACCTCATAACACACTTAGTCAGAGGCCCTATTGCTTCAGTAGTAGAAAATAAAATTTTTTGCATGACTAAGTATACCCATACAAATAGTTCCGGCAATCATCTTATCAACACAAAAACAATCTAGTGTGAGAAGGTGGAATATCGGTAAAAAAAAATCAAAAATTTTATTGATAAAAAGATTTATATAAGGGGGTACTATTGCCTTATACACAATAATTAATCTAGGCTATCCATATCAATATTGTTACGTGGTTTGCTCATATTTGATTTTGTTTTGTTTTTAAGGGGCAGATTAGCTGATAAGTCATCACGATAAATATTTACGTATACATATATTTTAGGCGGTATAGTAACGTGGTGAAAAATGCATGTGTTAGATGTTTAGTTAACGCGCATTTATATGAACTCGTGGCTTATTTTAACACAACTATGTACACGCATTAAATGAGATTGCATAAAGAAAAAGCCAATAGTACTTCAATAGTGGTTTAGCGATTTTACATAGATTTATAAGCCAACAGTATTTTCCAGGCAATACAACCACGTAACGGTAATTTAATTTCATAGTTGTTAAACCATATCAAAAAACTCGCTAGAAAAAAAAAAGTATTTATTATATCATAATATCATATAACATAACGGTTTCACGGGTTCGCACAAATTTTTATCACATAAATTTTGTGTCCTGACGGCCTCCAGAGGCTGTTAGAGTATAGTTTAACTAATATTTTTATAATAATGATGATAGTGATCACTTGATATTCAGGTTTATCAGTTCGAATGTGCGATAAAAACTTGCCCGGCTTTAATAATCAATGGCCTGCATTAAACTTTATGCGGTGTTACCTTAATTTCTCACAGTTGATTTTTTATTAACGAATATTACGAATAATGCGAATAGTGTGAATAATGTCTAGACCCTTTTCATGATCCCGCGATAAGAATGAGACTTAAAAAGGCTATAAGGGCAATGAGTATAACGTTCTTAATCAGTAGTTTTATCAAAATTCATATGTTGCAGGAACTTGGAATTCCCAGATCACCAGGATCGTTAACTTTTTCATTTCGCAGGAGAGATCGTCGAATCTAAGGGGGGTTTAATTTCGCCAGAAAAGCGACAAAATAGATTCAGTATTTGGAACTTATGACTGAGTAGACTTGCTTTACATAGTGGGATCTAGATTCTGTTGGGGTAATGTAATTACTAATCATGTAACTTTTTTTCTGGCAGGTTTTTTAGATCTAACGAATGGACAGTATAAATAAGCAAGTTTCCACCTTAAGATATGTTAGCAAATAACGTTATTTTTGCTTATATATTTTTTACTTGATTTACTTGCCTGTATTTTTTTTAAAAAGTAATTTGTGTTATTTCATTTACGGAAGCTATGAAACCAAATTTTACTTACTATAGTTTTTTTTATATTTAGGCATGAAAAATGAGCAGTAATAAAAAAACCACCACCCCCAAGACCAACGATAGTAGCACCCCCAAGACCAATGATAATAACGCCACCACCACGAGTAATAACGCCACCACTTCTACAACTAATGACAATAACCCCTCCGAGACCTATTATGTTCCCCAAACACCGCCCAATCCAAGACCTAGCCAAAGGACATCTAATTCTAATCGTCAACGTAGAAGTAGAAGAAACAGATATGGTAGGAGGTAACTTTTATTAGAAAGCGCTCTTCATATATTTGTGAAACTAAGGCTAAAACTCATTTTATCCATGCATTAAATTTGACGATTCAACTATGACCCCAGAGAAGATGATGACTATAACGTTGATGAAGGCAGACCCTTGGACAATTTTTCAGAAGAAAATTCAGAATGGTGTGAGGAAAATGATTTCAATGAGTATGAGAATCCTGGATAACAACAAGAAAGGCTAAATCAAAATTAATAAATAGTTTATATTTTTGTCTGCAGTATGCAACTGTGATGTATTTTTTTTATTTGTATATTGTTGTTCGGCAACAATTTTTAATAAATAAAGAGGCTCCAATTTTTTTTATTTTAATTTGATGTGTGAATTGGTCAAAATTTAAACATGTATAAATGAGGTATTAGCTATACAATGCAAAAATTTAGAACCTTCTATAATACTTATTTACAATTATGTTTGCTTATTTTTTATTAGAAATAATAAGATTACTAGCAAAATGTGATTTATTTCTTTGGCTAGGCCTGACCAAAATTTGTATGAATTGAGTATGATTTTTTTCCATTCTTTCGTAAGATCATCGAGCCATGTAGTACTTAAACCACTCTTTATACCACGATGGTTGCATATCACAAATATAACATGCTTCCGATTCTCTTTAACGAGTAAAGTGTTTTCGAAGATAAAATTAACGAATTCAGAGGTTACTTGAGAATTAATTGTGGAAAAATGCCGATAAAGAAAGACGAGGAAGATTTATTATAATATATTAATATTACAATATTAAATGTGATGATTGGATGACAACAATCTTATTTCATTTCTTTTATCTTTTTGTGGCGTAAAATAAGTTGGACTCGTGAAATCCGCTTTACAGTGATGGGGTTTTGAAATTATTTCAGTGTGAAAAATATTACTAAAAGGATCTGAGTCCTTATTAAGACACAATAATGCTTCTGCTTTGTGAACAATACTTTCCTAATATTTAAAAAGCATTATAAATAATTTATCATAAATAAACGTTAAAAAATCCAGTTTCCTACCTTAAAGAAATATAATGCTTCCAAAGTTTGTTTCAGAACAGTAATATCATTGATTTGAGTAGGAAACCTTAATAGTGGCCCTTCAAAACCGAAATACAATCCATTATCTAATAAGTCAACACCAATTATTTGACCATATAGAGCTAAGTAATAAAATAGAACCAAAAGCATAAATAACTATGAAACATATTGCAATGCGTAATATGTGTTAAAGCCATACCTGCTAACTACAACCCAATGACTGCAGAATTTTTGATTATTTCATCGGACAGATCATGTGAAAGATATTTATCAAGAACAGATTTATTTGTTCTAAGGCATTTACTGCGATCACTAATAATTTTAGTAGGAGTTGTTCTACGAGCGCACTCAGAGTGGCTAAGCTCCACAATTTTTCCCTGATTTTTTCCTCGGCATATAACTTGTAAGTCGATTTTTCTTCCAACCGCTGTTGCTTTCGAAACCGTTTCTCCCCTGCAAGTATTTATGATTAGAAACAATAATTGATAAACATCCTAGAGAAAACAAAACATTTACCATTTAAGATGAACAAGATGTTGAACATCGGAAAATATTATATCTATTATTGGACCTGCAACTTTGAGCACGAATTCAATTTCTGTTAAATTTTGTTTATTTCCTTCCTTATCCACGAAAATAAAGGGGTCTATTAGGAACATCTCTAAACTAATTATAAATTAAAATCAGTTTAACAACCAATGGGAATATTACTGCATAATAATGATGTAATATATACATAAAAAAATAGATTTTCATGACTTGACGTTGTAAAATTCTAGTTTTATCCGGACGTCCCTTTAACTTCTCATACACAAAATCCCTTGCTTCCCAGTATTTGTATTCATTACAAAGCTAGAGTTTGAAAAAAAGGGTTCGATGATGTATATATATTATAAACATCCAATTCTAAATCATTTTTATACCTCTTCTATTTTGTTAATGTCGCTTTCAATTGCATCTCCAAATTTCTTTGGCGTGATATTTATCTGCATCAGGGCCTTTGCTTTAAGTTCTGACCATTCCTCACCGAACCAGGTGCACATACCACCAGAAAATTCGGAAGAAAGGTCAACTATTGACGAAAGACCAAGTCTACACGAGTGATTATCGAAGGTTAGTGCACAATATTATAAATGCAAGAAAAATAAATTATATACCGTATAGTGCTTAAAGTGGATGCATCTAACTTTTCCCCTTCGGATTGTAGTTCCTTTGCTTGATCAATGGTCTTTGACGTCATACGAACAAGAACGTCTCTAACTCTTTCGCCATTCCTCAACATCCACCCCTCTCCACCTTTGCTTGATTCTGCCCATTGACCGAACAAAACTGTACTGAAATCGATAACATCGTCTTCATCCTCATATTCTTCATTTTCATCATCCTCAACCTCGCTTTCAGGTTGATGTTCAAGGAGGCGCATCTTAAAATTCTGTAAAAAATAGTTATAATTACTGATCAAACTCTTTATCCTAATAGTAGTATACCTTATTTTCCGGTAAATTTTTTATTCTTCGTTTATGAGATTTCGGATTAGACGGCAGCAGTTGTTCCTTTTCGATATCTTGAATGCTATCTCTTTTTTCTAACAACATTTCTGCATTGAAATTTTCACGAACAGTATTGTCTTGTTTATATACTAATTTTTTTACAGTCGAGTGTTGTTTTAACTAATAAGACGATTCATTAATAATTTGAATTTGAAAGATTATGAATTCAAAAAGTTATTCTGAAACATACATCATACAGCTTGCTCTTTTTCTCGGCATTTTCTATTCTTTTTTCTATGTTTTGTTTCTTTTCCTCCTGGTTTTTTGACACCCAGTGGGCATTAATATCTTTCTTACATTTTTCGCTCTATCAGAAAACGAAGATTCATGTTAATTTGAATTTATGAAACACAAGTAAAAGCTTAATAAGTATACCTCTAGAGTTTCCTTCATTTTGGAAGCTTTGGACTTTAGTTTTTGATCTGAGCTCGTGCACATATGGGGTATTATCTATTAAAACAGCCCTTTTTTACATATATTTCATTTTGAGATAATTGAGTTTAATCACTTGTTTTGATTTTCGGACTGATCCGGGATTAATCAAATTTCACGATTTTGATTGGTTAAAGGTAACAGGTGACTATCGGGTAATCTCGTGATGTGTTGGCCTTGGGCAGCTTCATGTAATTTTTCTTTTACATTATCTTGATTTTTTATTATGCAAATCGACTTTCATTTATAATTGAAAAATGTCAAGCATGTCAAAATTTATAAGAATCCAATAAAAACTCATTTTTCGAAAAATTGCAAAAAAGGGCTGTTTTAATAGATAACACCCCATATATTCCAAGCACTTATTTAACGCAAAATGAGCAATTTTTTTATCACGATATGCAAAATTATTGTATTTAAAAAAACCAATTGCTGAATATTCACTACATTCGTTGAGAAAGTATGGTAAATAGTTCTGAGCGTGCTTTTCCATCAACGCGTGCTGAAACAGATATCAGATGCAGGAACCCGGAAAAATTTGGAAATAAATTTTTCCAAATTTTTCCAAATTTTTGGCCTTAATTTTGGTATTTCCAAATTTTCGTGGTTTAGCCAAATTTTTAGAAAATATGTGATCTCTGGCCAATAAAAACGGGGCAATGAAAATTTTGGAAATAAATTTTTCCAAATTTTTGAGTTTCATGTGATCTAACCAATAAAAATAAAGTATTTGGGAACCCGGAAAATCGTAGGCCCAAAATTTTTGATAAAGTCTGGTCGGAAGATTTAGGAATTGTGGTGCGTGTCTGTCGGGGGGTTCCGGAATTAAATACAATTTTTCACTTGTCCCGGTTACGCAAAAATTGGGTTATTTGATTAGCATTCTGAAAATAGCCCAAATATTTCCAAATATTTAAATTTTTTATCCAAATTTTATCCAAATATTGGTCAAAATTTTCCGGGTCCCTGATCAGATGAGATATGTTTATCACCACAAGGTCATATGATTTGTATTTGAGTAAAAAATCAAAATTTGATAGTCGTGTACCAAAGAAATTACAGAATTAGCATTAGTTTAGTTGCAGTGTAAACCGTCTTTTAAGTCAAAGCAATTAAGCATCATTAATCAGTCTTTTATAAACTTTATAAATTTACTCCCTTCTCTCAAACGCAGGACTACGTGTCTATACAACTTGCAGGCAGTTCGTCATTTGGCCTCTCATTTGACCCGCTGTCCGTGGGTACGTCCCCAGCAAGTTGTGCGTTTGTGTTTTGTTATCTGGCTATATTCGATTGACGCGGGACTACGTGTCTATGCAGTCTGCAGGCAGCTCGTCACTTTTGCTAATAATTCGACCCGCTGTCCGTGGGTACGTCCCCAGCAGATTTGCGCGTTTTTTGAGAGCCAGTCTTTCATTATTTCTTCGGATGTGGAAAGAACGAATGAGTCGATATTGCAAGTAATAGAAAAAAAATTGTAAAGGCTAACTTTTTGCGAGTATAGAAGAAATAAATAGTAAAATTTTTGCTATTTATAAAATTTCAATTTATCTTTTATTAAAATCTCATTATTCGATTGAAAGTGTTCATTAAATTTCTTCCATTGGAATAGTTTTTTGAGAATATTATAGGTTGAAGTCCTTAATTTTTTGTATTCTTTCAGAGATAACTATTTCTGGTTTTTCATCATACCATACTTCAAGTAAGAAAATTCCGTTATCTTGACATATGCATATTTTTAGCCGATCACGATTAACTATATCCTCGAGCTTTTTGACATCTTTATACCAACTAGTATTATGGAGTCGATACTGAGCCCCTTGTATCTCTAATGCAATTTGGTGTTTTTGAAAGAAAGCATCAAGTTCTAACCCATTCAGGAAAGAAGGGCGATACTCAATTATTGGTTCCTCGTTAAGAAGTATTTGAGCTACCAAAATACATTTTTCCTGAAATTTACGATTCTAGTTCTTTTTTAAGTTCATTTATGCTCCGTTTTAACTCCGCATTCTCGGTTTTAATTTTGATATTATCCTTTTTAAGTTCAGTAATCTCATCCATCAACTTCGAATCTAATTTATCAATTTCAGGTTGTAGCGATTCAGAGTTTATCCAGGGTTCAAGTCCAGTTCTTTTCTTATATCTTTTATATAACCTGGAACGAAGCTTATCTGACAAAATGCTTGGTAAATCAGTTAATTTGGCGTGCCACTCCAAATATTCAGGAGTTAAGGCTTTATCTATATTATCGTTTTTCCAGGGATCAAGGCCAGTTTCTTTTTTATAACTTTTATATAACTTTGAACAAATCTCATCTATTGAAATACCTGGCAATACAATAATTTTAGCTTGCCACTCCAAATATTCAGAAGTTAAGTTTTTATGAGTCTTTGATTCTGTGCTCTGCTCATTCATGTTACTGTTTTACATGATTGCAAATTAATTTAAATTAGATATTGACCTTTTCATAAAAATTTCTGTATCCTATACAGGTCAATATATATACGTAGTATCAATATATCAGAAAAAATACACACGCAAAAGTAAACATGATTATATGTGAAATCGAGCCACCAGGCCTTGTTAAATAAAATATACAATTTGCTACTCTATATAAAGTGAATTTACAGTACTTTATTTTTTCGATCTTTTTCGAAAACTGTTTACAATGCCCTGCAAATTTACAATGAGTCCATTCTAAAAATTATGAATTTCTTCGTCCAGAAGTATTTTCGCTTTAATAATAGGAAGATAATATTTTATCTCTTTTCCTTTATCAATCTGTGGATTTCAAGATACCCGCGATATTAACAGCAAATCCTATATAATTTTTATAAAAATTTTCTTTCACCTCTTCCCTGAAACTTGAAATATTAGAAAGGTTAGTCAGAAGCGAAAACATACGCTCTCACATCTACGATAGAAGTTAAGACATGTATTTCCACGCAGAGAAATTTCGGAAAGAATTTCTATAAATTATGCATCACAAGATATAGAGCCATGTAAGGTTAATGATAAACTACATATCATCAAATCGCTAATTCAGATTTATTTATTCGAGATTCCCTTAGAAAATTATCATATTCACATCGCTTTATATTCCATTCGCTACTTTTTTGCATGTTTTGCAATATAGGTGTGAATGGTGATTGCATTCATCACAAACCTTATACCCACGCTTCCATCCTCTAAAGATATGCCACTTTTCGATATAATTTTGTTTATCTTTACATATGAGTATGTTATTCGGATATTTTTTCATTGTTATACGTTAACAGAAAAAATATAACGTGGTCAATAATATGTGGCAATTGCGCCCTCACCCACAAATAATTTATGCATAAGCCGAGATTATTTATACATAGAGAATTTTTTTATATATCAATATAAATATTTTTGTACCATATAACTAATTTCATTTTTTATATAGAACACAAAACTTTTCTTTACGTACATGGACTGAAAATTATTAATATATGGCGCAGTAATCACGTGAGTGTGACCTTCGAGGTCACGTCCACGTGACTTATACGATTGATTCTGTTGGGGGTTTATCAGGAATTTGAGATATTACATAGTTAATTTGATCAACGGTTAATTTGGCAATTGTTAATGCACTAAAAGATTCTACTCGTCCTATCTTATCTGTTCCTACTTACTAAATAGATGAAAAATCTTTTGGGCTCTTTCTTTTTTTTTTCGAATAGTAGTTTCAGGAGTACCATCGGGAAGTTGTTTTTCAATTTCTTTGTTTACATCACTATTAGCATCATTTACATTATAAGATTTTTCATAATGAAACTTAAAGCGTTTTGCTATGGCCATCCCGAAGTTATAGTATTGAAAAATTACTTTCTGACTTTGTTTTTGACTTTCACTTTCAGCAGAGGTAATTTTAGTATATAAATTTAGAAAATCGATAGGTTGTGGGTCATCTTCGGTAGCTATTACTTGGTAAGAAGTTATTTTGTTTTGTTCAGAGGTGTTAGATTTTAATTCTGTAATAAGTTTTTTTATAATATTAGAATCTTTCTTGTCGCCTTTTTCCTTATTCTGTTTTGATTTTTTACTAGATAATTTATTTTTAGTAGTATCTTCGCTAGGTCTTTTTTGACTCTGTTTTGTATTGTCTGGAAATGGTAAGAGATTTAAACTATGAATTGTATCTGAGGTTACTGTATTCTCGCTTTGACTAGATCTCATTTGTGGCGAAATTTGCATTGGAACTAGGATAGAGCTAGATTCAGAATAATCAATTGGTTCAACTTCTATTCCACACTTAGGGCATTGCGGAAGATCTTTCACATAATCCTCAAGACAACTACGGTGGAATATATGGGCGCAAGTAAGTATCGTAAATGGCTTTTTAATTTCATATAAAAAAAGCTCTTTATTACACTTTGAGCATGGATCTAGTTCTGGAACTTCAACACCTTTTGCAATGACCTCTGGGGTGCCATTCTTAAGGATATTTAAAGCAAGGCTTTTGAGACATGAAACGTTTTGAGGCGTTGAATTAGTAGCCATATT